AGTTTGGGTTTTCGTTCAACTTTGACGGTGACCTCAGTGAAAGGTTTACAATTTAACATTTATAGGAACCCGTTCTGATTGCTTGTACAATAGTCAAACACCCGTTCACACGAGATACAAATTATCATTACATGCTTTCGTTTATATGAAGTGTTTCTTTGTGAACACTAAATGTTTGATCCCTAACAACCTCGTACTTTTGTCTGCCCTGGCTTTAGGGAATGTCATCGAAGTACTCACCATCAAGTACACCTCAGACATTGCCTGTTCAAATAAAAGGTTAAACACTACTAATAGAACAAACAGTGTTGGAAACTTCCACGCCAATGAATCCAGAGGAAACTACCAGCAATCCCACAGAAACAAGGACTAAGCGACAGTACTGCTGTAGATAAGCTGTTCCGAGATTTACACAGACTGTCATTGGCTCCAGAAGTAACGATGAAAACGAAATAGGTTTGAATAAACAAGGTTGTAGCGGTATGTAATTTCCTAGAATTATTGTTTGCAACATTTGTCGCTGAACATTGGATGCTGGCCCTCATTTTTCTAGTCGACTTGTTTAGCTGAAGTCCCAGAGACAAGCATCCACACCACCGGGCACGCTGTCGTGTCACGTTCGTTCGTGCACGGTCCCCAGCTAGTTGAGCGATGAACCTTGCGCTCCGATTTGGTCCTGAAACATACTTCGTAATCCGGACGATCAGTTTTGGTACTTCGCTTCGCCTTTGGTCTACGCGGAAAGAACACTGTAGGTGTTGTGGATATTGGATCTTGCGTGAACATCAACACCCTCAGCCTCAAAAGGATCACTGAGCATCTGTTCAGTGTTCGCTAGCACTTGCATCTGCCGTGCACAAGCTGCAGCGGTTTTCCGGTATTCGTGAAGAGACGAAAAGAGTATTTATATGACCTCCTTTCTATCGTCGGGCTAGTAATTGCCATTTCATGGAACTTATCAATGCACTAAGCAATATTCAACTTCTTTTGAAATGTCTACACTTTTTCGCACCATACTTCGTAGGTTGGAAATGCGACGCTACCCTTCATTATCTCCAATCTAGGCATAGCACCATTATGATTCTCATACGGCTTTCCACTTGAAGCGAACAAACTTAACTCTTCTGCAACTATGCACATGATATTCCGTATTCGTTTCTGCATCAAGCGTTGTGTTTTATCTGCTCTTTTAATTTTACCACTATTAAACAATTTGACTTTAACCGTATGTGTCCGATAAAAAGCTTTGAGAGGGCATCATCTGTAAATGCAGCTGAAGAGGAAGGCAGACGTAGATTTAGAACAACCGAATGGAATCACGAAAGAAAACTATTGTGACAGTGAGGCTTTGGTGCCAGTAAGTATTCAGAAAAGCGGTCGGAGCAGCTAGCGCTATTTACCCAGTTGTTCACGTCAACTATGTAATTCCCAAGTTTCTCCAAGTTTGACACCAGAGATAGCTGTCAGTAGGTCCACCAAAAGGAACCTCCATTGGCAGATATGTGGAAAAACATTTAAGTATTGCCTGTTATCGCATCTTTTATGTAAAATGTTAGAAAAATATCTTCTTTGTCAGCATTCCAGCGATATGATTTCAGCGAATTCTTTCGATATATACATTAGAACATGTTAGTCAAAAACGAAATCATTGAAGTTTAATTAGTTATTATAAAGCTTGTTGGTGAAGTGCATAGGTCTAATAAAACGCAAGCGGTTATCCAAAATCCAGAGAAATCGGTAGAAAATATGAATCCGGCTACGAATATCAAGAAGTACAGCTCATACTTAAAAATCCATTGTCGTCACAAGCTTCTTGTGTGAACAAGCTGCAATTGGACCCCTCGCATATGAAATGTGATGGTCATAAAGATTATGTTGTCTTGATACTTGTTTCTTCTGTAGCACATCCAGAACTAATAAAACCTCATGTGATCTCATAGCACAAGTACAGTTTGCAAGACGTTCGCACATAGTGGTCAGTTGTTGAATAAAACTTTACAACATCTCCCAACTATTCATCATGTGTTCTGATTAATCTTGATGTAATCACCCGATTTTAAAATTGCTAAGCACGCTACATCGGGAAAAGTTAAACCACAATAAACCATAATGGTGACCCTGAAAAACCAATCAGATTTTAGATGCAAAAATGTTTCATAATCGTTGAAAAATACACTTGAAATATTACAAACCTTATTTTACACAGTATAATTGTGGCTTATGTGTTGTAAGAACGCCTCCCAGTCATTATAAAATGTGATCTATGGAGAAATAACGATATACGTCCAGGTGACTGTAGGTCGTGGCGCTTCGAGATCTACTGACATTTCTGAAACTATTCTTCAACCTAATCCGAACTTCAGATGTAGTCCGAACTCCTAATCCTAACTTAAGCCTTAAATCTAACCTAAATCCTAGACCCTAAACCATAATCTTAAGAGCCATATCTCTACATAACAGTATGGATTTGCAGAAAACGTACCCAGTAAATTAGCAGAACTCTGTGTTCGACATCTCCAAGCACAAAACGGCAGGCGGGATTTCACTCGGTCCTTGAAGGTCAACCTTTGAAAGATGTTGACTTTGCCTCTGATAATTTAACTTCACCCTATACAGAAATATCATGATCTCTGAGGGTGCTGTTTGCTGTATGGTACGTAGTAGCATTGAAGTGTGAGTACAAGGGCAACGGATAGCGGCACACACGGATTGTAGGGAGGCTGAGCACTTGAAGGTCATTTGTGCATTATGCGATTGGTAGATTTCCCTTTACCTAAACGTTGAGGCTAATACGCAATGCACGTTAGTGGGGTGGGCTTTGAAATAGTAATAATAAAATCAGATAGGCACCACATTTTACAGTTGAAGGGAACGAGTTAGTATATGTATGAATTTCACAGATGTGATAAATATTGGATCCACTTACAAAAAGTATATTATTGAGTAACTTAATCAAAGAGGTATAAAGTTTAAAGATTCAGTCTCCTTCAGATGGTTGCAACAGATGGATAAGAGAGGCAGTTGTTTAATATTTGCTTTTTGCACACGATAAAATATGATAGATAAATCGGAAGTTCCATGATTCTTTGAATCTATCATGGAATATACGACGACTAATGTACAGAATCTCACCAATTCCACGATTGTTTCCTCCCTTGTTCACATATTCATTGTGCCTAAGATAAGGAATTGTTCACCTGAGGTACGATCAGTTCACTTAATATGTGTACATCCCCAGGTATTTCTCAGTGAGGCTGAAAATAGTCGAAGAAATACAGTCTCGATCATTTCATAGAAAGATTGTATCCAGTTTCTGCTGAAGGATCTGTTGGTGGTGAAAACTGCAAAGACTAGTCCGGTGCCACTATCAAGTGAGGGAAACTGACCCACATCTTGTGGATAGAATGATTATTGAACTTTCTGTAAGCTGTGATGCAGCTATAAAAAATCTACAACTGTGATTTTCTTCACTGAATTGTTATAAACTTCTTTCAGTGTGAATATGTACAGTTTCATATTAAACTACTTTCTAATTTGCTTTGCTGTTGTTCTTTCGCAAATATATGCTTTTATGTCGACTACCTGTATCTCTTTTATATATCATTTCGAGGACACTGCATAGTTGACGAGAATGATAGACAACGTGGTAATACTTGTGTGAAGTGCGTCGAATTTGTAAACCGTTATTATTTTCTCAATGCGTCATCAAGCCTTGCATAAAATGTTTCAGCAACATTTAATCTATTTGCGCATAGTCTTAGTATGCATTAGCGTTAAGAAGAAAATAGCGGTCGAACATGTGCTTGTATTGTAATAACGGAATATAACCTAGCAAACGAAGACTGTATACGTACATGACCTGCACTGGTAGTCTAGGCACTTCAGACACACTATGAAACGTATATTCTATTTATCACAAGTAGTCTGTTATTATTATGTTGCGTATAACAGTACTGTATTAGAGGAGATCTTTAGGTGATAAAAAGATTTCATCTTAATTCTTGTGTTGGCATTTAGTATTAAAAGGCTCTTACATGATCATATTGCTACTTAGACTTATGTATCAGTTGACTACGTCGCTCAACTTAATTGATTATTTGGTTATCGTAAAATACTGTAACTTGTATGCATATCATCTGTTTACAATCTACCAGCGGAAGCAGTTACTGAAAAGCAATAAAAGTACCTAATTATACTCATTTGAATAACATTTCTTTATGACTTTTTACGCATATTACGCCTTCTGAGTCGGCATCACTTTTCACTGCGACGAACAATAAGTATTATTAATGTATAAATAAATAGCCTGTAAACATTTTAGAAATATTTATTTTGTCAAATATATACATAATATCACAAGTGCCTCATCATTCACACGTATATCTTCTGTTTGTGCTTCAGGGAAACCTATAAATAAGTTGAACGACTGCTGAAGTAACAATCGTAACTTGGAAAACGTGTTACAAAACGGTTACTGTTCAATAAGTGCTACGAAGTACCTCTTAGTTAAAAGGTTGTGTTTCCCCTGCTATCTAACCAATCAATCACCTCAAATTCCTGTACAGATGTAAAATCTTGTGAATATTATGAAAGTTTCAAAAGCCTCATAGTCAAAACACCTCTTCATCATTTAGGAAAACATTTTCCATTTACCTAGATTGTTTCACATTTCTTACACTTACCGATAATTAACGAGGAATTTCAATTTTCCTGATGCGCAGATACAACCCAGTTCAGTGGCAACCAGATATGTGGTCAAAATGTTGAAAACGACTACTTTCCCCCATTTTTCCAAGATTTTGGTTTAAATATAGTATTCAGTAGAGAAAAAAACGCCTGAAAACAACGTAAAACAACCCAAACACAACATCACGATAACAAATGAATTCTGAAGCAATTAGCCGATGTGTGTGCGAGAAATAAACGCTATCGCGTTTTTAAATTGACCTCACTTCTGGTTTTCTCGTCTTCGATGGCTTAAACAGTGGCGGTAAATTAAACTTTTGAATTGTCGTAGGTAGGTACTATCGTGCACGGCTATGTGTGGTTTCGCAAGCAACTGTGACGAATATAAATGTAACATTTGACTATTCGGCAAAGTTTAAAAAAGTGAAGAAGTCATTAGATGATAACAGTGTCGTTGTCCTGTGCTCACTACATTATATTCAGAGCCAAACAATGTGGGGTGATGGGTCTGAGTATATGTATGTCGCTTCCAAATGCACTTTGGGAGTAAAACGACGCTAAAAAATGAGGAATAAGTCATAGAAAGAATTGTATTATGGCACTGTGTATATTTAAGTTTTAAATTTAGCCATTGGCTTTCTTCATTTCGCATACTTTCTCATTGTAGCGAATACTTGACGGCGTCCTACAATATGGCGCATAAACATCCGTCCACGCCAGTTTATATGAAGGATGGTCCTTGCAGTAAACGACTGGCAGTAGAAGAGATAGAAAATGTGGAACCCCTCCTTCAGCAATCGCACTCATCTAGTGAAGTAATGAGGCATGTCAAGAAAAAATTTCACAATGACGTCAAAAATATAGGATACCCTATTAATGAAGGTAAAGTCAAATTCGTGTGTAATAGCTTCAGGAATGTCGAGTCGTAATGATATCTTTCAGTTTCTGAAATCCCGTGGGAGGTTGGCTAAGTATTATTCAAAGAAACACAACCGGAATTCACTAAGGAGAGTTTGTTTTTCGACATATGAGCAAATAGAGTTGTATAAGCGGTTCCCGGAGGTTGTAAGAATCGATTGCACACACAACACGAATAAGGAGAAGTAAGTTCACTCATTCAGTTATAAACCTGCAGGTATTCTTTGTTCCAGTTGGTTATAATGGATAACTTTGGTCGTGGCCGTCCAGTCCTATTTGCTTGGACTAAAAAGGAACTTAAACGCGATATGATTTGGATTCTTGTCGTATTCCGTCAAATAATGGGAGGTACTTCCCGAACGGAGACTTTCATCGTGGACTGTGCTCCGTCAAAAATTACTGCAGTCAAGGTGACGCACCGGCAAGCACACATTGTACTGTGCCCTTTTCACGTTTGCCGTGCATTCAGTAAGAAAGTAAGTTCATTGTACGTTTGATAAAAAGTTTAAATGTAGACTAGAAATCCTCTTGTGAAGAACTACTTATGTCGCTTAGTTCATTGCGAATGGAGGGCAGAGTAATACCTTCAATATTCTTATTTTTTAGATTTAATTTCTATTTCAGAATTATAAGCAGACTGGATGTTAGTGTCAGTCAATACATACAACGGCGTTGGATGAGTCAAAGACATTTGTGGGCAAGAGCTTTCAATGGCCATGTGCTGACTTTTGGTTATATTACTGATAACAGAGGTAAAAATTCCCACAAACAAATAAAGCGTTATCTGCAAAGATCAGATAGTTTGCACGAAAGTATGTTGAAGGTGTATAACTGTTGTCAGCAAAGTTCTTCAAAAATACACCAAGAGGCAATGAGTACACGGTCACGTGATTCATATTCACTTCCAAGCACGTCTGAATTCATCCTAAATAATCCACGTCAGGCATTTTCCGCTTACTGTAGGCTTATAAATATTTACTTGGAGAAAATTCGAGTGAAGTTTGGAGAAAGGTTTGCTGCCGATTATGCAGGAGCAGTGAACGCAGACATCGAACGTATTCTTAATATTAAATAAATTAATTTTATCAGAATAAAAACAAACGAATCCTATAAACACTCTTGTGTGTTTAATCTAACATGCTAGCGTTGGGAGTACGGCATGCTAGACCGGTACTCCTTAAGATGTGAACTTGTAAATGTAAATGTAAAGTGTAATCCCGTACAACCACAGTCAATTCATTTGGACTTCAGTCAAGCCCAAATGTGCATCTACAGCTACGCTAGTAGGTTTTCTTAGTCATAGGGATCAATGACAAATAACGACGTAACCTTTGTATTCGAAACGTAAGGATAGCACTTAGGCACTGCAGTGTAGTATGATTGGGTTACGGAGTAAGTTTATACAAGAGTAGTTCATTACTGCTGCTTCTCTATATATGGCCTAACATCCCTGGAAGTGTCAACAAACTTTTAACTTAGACTTATCAGTAGGTTGTCTACAGCATGTCGTAATACGGCAGTATATAGTACACTAAATTACTTCATCTATTTCAGTTGAAGCGTTAAGTCAACCAATATGATTACGGATGTTGTTAACATATAATTTCACGCGATGTTTTAACCGTAGACGAATAATTGAGTAAATGCAACTGTAACAATCGTAGCACTATTTCATTTGCACTGAAATATGCCACCAACTACATTTTCATGTCTTATTAAATAATGTTAAACCGTCATATCGTCATAAGAAGTCGATTTCCATTCTAAGTAGAATAACAAAAATGTACTGAGCAGCATGTCAGGTATATTTAATGAAATTATAGTAACAAGTAAATCTCTGTACACAGTTGTTAGTTATAATTATTTCAGCTCTGTTGAATTGCTGTGATCAGTTTGACTGATGTTTCTGAACTTCTGCAAGTAAATGATTGAAGTGTATGGTTGATTCCTTTGCGATTAGAAGAAAGAACCGACTGTAGTAGGAAAGTAAGATGATGAAGGTGATGTGAGTAAAGGAGAATGATGCTCAGGAAGGCTTCATGTGTTTTTGGAAGTGTGTGGGCGGTTGTTACTTCTCGGCTGCCCACACTGCGGAAGTTGATTGAATCTTCGGGTACCTGAAACAGAAGGAGGGTTAGTGTTGCATGACCACAGAGCCCGAGGGACAACTGCTTGAGGCCAGCAGGTCACACACGGCCTGTATGAACTGGTTTCTTGGATTGGTTACTTATTAGTAAACTTACTACCGGTTATGGACCACCGTAGGGTAAGTAGGGATGTCCAATTGTTCGGGTCGACCTTTTCTAACCCCATCTCTCCAGAGTGGAAAGACAGCATAGCTGGCCGGCATGCTGGTCTTCTGAGGGAAACACCTTACTGTTGTTACATCTCTGTTCCCCAGCAGTACGACTTCGCCCTCAGACCCCCAGCATAGTGTACAGTAAGCCGGTAACTGCTTTTAGTCTAATCGCTATCCTAACAACCTTCCTGGCATGGTAGGACCTGCAGGAACAATAGTTCCAGCCAGTGTAGCTTGTTGGGTCATTGCAGTATGCAAGCCCGACCACCAAGTCAAGGTAGCAGCTATCAGTCGGGTAGAAGAAAGTAATATAAAAGTTACACAACTTCCTCTGATAACGGTTCATTCCGTTTTCTTATTTGTAGTCATGGTAACATTACTCTGTGATTTTCACTGTCGCATAAATTGCATTCTTTGTCAAGTAAGCAAGTATGACGCCTTCATATTATGGTGTCATTCTGAACTTTTAAAGATAATTCACACATCTAAAATATAGTAATTATAGTCATCAGTAGCACTTTAGTTGTATGCCATCTAAGTATTTCCTTTGACTAAGTTTCTTATCAAAAACATTTATAGCATTCCCATTGATTTGATAGGAACTTTTAAGTGGCGCTAATTTTCATCAGCTGTTCCTCTAGAGATGATAGCATCCAGTAACTGCATATGCTTCAGCGTTTCAACGTGAATTTCAAAAAGACAAAAGACCAGTAGTTAGTTCAGCGAAGAGTCCTTTTTCCCCGACGAATTCATTTTCATAGCTGTACAATCGCAAATATATATATGGTTGTTTTATATGTGTGTGTGTACATCAAATTTACCTAACTAAAATACAATTAGTAAGTTCAGATGAATTGGATGTTGATATAAGAGAGTAGTAACAAAAGTGATGAGTTGTTACAAACGATTGTTAAAGAGGAGTTACGTAATAACATGAATAGTTCGATGAAGGAGTTGTGCTCAGGGTGTACATGGAAACAAAGTAACATACGGAATTACGCGAGAGTCTTAATCAGTTAGAAAAATAAGCATACAAGTAAAAGTTAAGTCAAATCAACAGAGTTGTTACCATGATAGTAGAAGTTGCTGGATAACTTTCTTTTGTATATATAGTTCTGGTTCTTCTGTAATGCAAAGAAGATGGAAACAAACGTGTTGTCTTTGGCAGGTTGTTCTTCACTTTGTAGATCACTTTGAAGGAGGAGGCGTTTGTTAAGATAGAATGACCAGTGGTGACGAGATGTTCGATTATTGCACTCCTTATACGGCCACTACTTCCTTTCTGCAACCACGCTGGATAGTGTTCTTTGACCCTTTTTGACAGGATGCACGTCGAACGACCGATGTACCTGGCTGGCTCCACAGCAACAGGTGAACTGATATATACACATAGAAGTGGTCAGGCACAGGGTCTTGGCCTTTGGGGTTCTGCAGATCAGCAAGCGACTGGAGAACACTACTACTCTCAATGTTGTCGCAAAGAAAGTTCTTCTTAAAGAAGTGGAAATTCTCTTCCTAAGGACATCACTAAATAGGTCACCTATGAAGTCGAGGTTCATATAAAGTATCTTATTTTGGCATGGATGACGTCTCTTGCTTTTGTATTTTCTGTTTGATGTTTTTGTCTATGAATCTTGGTGGATAACCGTTTTGTATGAAGATTTATTTCAGGAAGTGTAGTTCTTCTTGCTCCAGGTTATCAGAACTGCAGATGCGTCGGACGCGAGTAGCAAGAGATCTAATTAGGTTTCTTTTTCGACTGATTGGTACCCAGCTGTAGAAGCTTGTCAGTTGGCCGTTCCGTGTGGGTTTCCTATGGACCTAAGTCTCTTCAGACCAGCTACTTAATAAGATGATGTTAAAAATATCAGTCACAAGTGCAACTTCCATATCTTACATAGCCGCAGATATTTCCTGAAGGAACATCTTGGTGATCTGAAAGTGAATGATTATTATGACTGATATGACTTACGTAACAGGTGTACTAGTAGGAGGAGGCTACTCTTCGACAGAAGGGCAGTACTAACTGTAAGGAGTATGACATTTCAGAAGGACTGTGTATAGTATTCTTCTTATCCTAATGAACGGTGATATCAAGATTTTCGATGTGGTAAGCAGTTACGGCCGTCAAACATTCCATGTGACAATGTAAATTCCACTCGTGTACCACATATTCAGCTTAAAACCTAATCACTATCAACTTCATCAAAATGGACAGAATCACTCCATTATGGATAAGATTTTATTTTGATAAGTCACACAGTGTTACACAATAATATTAACTGATGACCACGTTTCGAGCACAAATTATTGCTCATAATTATATCAAGTTATTCACACAACTTTTTCCTTCATTTATATACATGTATGGAATTGATGATTAGACATTTGAATAAAAATCAATGAGATAAGATAATGTACATTCAGAAATAATAATATGAGTGTTATCAATCAAGTACAATCAGATGGGAAATAAGACGAGTGTTTTTATAGTAAAATAAATAAGTAACTTGTTAGAATGTTGTGGTGTTCTTGAATTGAAATAGAATTTTAGGATTATTTATTATCCTCCTCTGATTTGACTGACTGGCGGTAATAATATATTCCATATCTGCGGTATTTGAACATGTGTTGGGTGTAGACTTGATGAACCAGGATTCAGTAATCAATCTCTCTCTCCACCTACATAGAGTACTTCTTAGAATCTTAACCCTTTCCCACCCTATTGTGTGGTTGTGTGTTAATGCATGTGGTACAATTGCTGAGCTTTTTTCTAAATTACTTATCTTCTCAGGGTCAACCATTCTTACCTTAGCTAAATTCTCATGTTCCGACAGTGTCATTACCCTCGATCTACTAGTTTGACCTCACAGTCATTGCAGGGTATTTTGTAAATTAAATTATTTTGTTTAATTGGGTCCACCGGGTCTTTTAGCGTACAGAGCTTGTCCCTGAGTGAGTTTTTAGGTTTGAATGCCACCCTAATTCCTGCTTTATTAAGAATCCTACGTAGGGACATAATCACAGCAAAATTCAGATACCTGTCTTATTCAGAATATAATTTCTTCTATGTGTGTCATAAACCATTTCATTCATTGCTCATGAAGTTAAAAAGCTTGCATATCTCCTCAGAACAGATATTTAACTTATGCCTGTAGATTCCTTCTTCCTTCACCCAAAGCCTGAATCTTATGAAAAACTACGGTAACATTAAAAACGTTGCCAGTAGGGCAACAGTAAAGAATAGACACCAACTTCAGACGACCTTGAAAGAACCAATGACGTTCTAGGTGAAAAGTTGGTATTCAATCTACAAAAATATGTATTTATAATATACATGTGTAACAAAAATGAATTATACAGGGAATATATATATATATATATATATATATATATATATGCTGCAAAATTTGGTCCCATTAACTCATAGGAGTGTCTACAGACAGATAAAACTAGTGTTGATACAAAAATTCATCTGATTGGCTGTTTATCATATTTTACTAAGGGAGAATTTCGATTTCGAGAGGAAGGTACCTAGAAAATTACCATAATTTACGACTAACCAACCTTTACAGACTTACCCGTTTAACAGTGGTTGTATCTAAATGCATAAACATCGAAAGCATGGCACTACTTTTGCAAAGTCATTGTCCCTCCACATATCCATTTTTTTAGTCCTATCAACCTATCAACCTATTTGCCACACAGAAGTCAAAAACTAAATCTAGGTGAAACTTGCAAAGATTATTATGATGAACAGCGTTCATTTTTAATGCTGAGCGATCTGACTGAAGGTCATTTGATTTCGG